TGACCCTTAGATCCCATAAGATTTCCTTGATTGACACCCTCCAAATGTCATGCCCCCAGCCCCATTGCCACTTCTATTGACACATATCTCTAATTTATATGGGCAAACATACTTGAAAGTCTATCACCCTTGGATAGTTTCTTTGTCTGTTTCGCATACTAGATCGCTCGTGTGACACGCTTTACTGTCCAATGAGATCTGTTCGCCCGCGGGCATCACACCAGCTGAAGAGTAGCTCCTTTCAATTGCACGTAAAGCTCCTCCCCGCGCTATTGCACTTCGATAAGGACGTTTGCCCTGCCGACTCTTGATGGAGAGAACTCCGAAAAGTTAACCCCACCTCAGCCGATCTATTGCAGTTTCCACTCAATTCTGGATCACCTCATTGATTACTCCTCCACCTAGACATCTTTCACCCCACCACATTGCGGCGTTTTGTCCTGGTGTCACAGCACGTTGTGGTGTCTCAAGCATAATCTTCACATGTCCTACCTGCAAGGGGGCTTCTTGCCCTTGCCCTTGCCCCATTATCTCCACACTAGCAATTCGTATAGGCTTTTGTCGATGGCGAAATTGAAGCACTAATCTCTCTTCCCATATTATTTGCTCTTTGAGAGTTTTTTCCGCAGTGGCATCCTGGGCCTCCTCGAGAACTGGGTAGTCTATCTCAACTTCAGCCCCCTGTGCCTTCACCCATGTACCCATCAGCGGCGTCGGGCTTAGAGCACTAAGAGCGACGGCCTCACAATCTCTTCCCAGCCAGTGGAATTCTTGAACTACAATTCCCGTGCTCCAAAGCCTGCCATTTCCCCAACCCCGAACAACCTCTATCTGATTCGTAGAGGCATTTTTACCACTAATATACCACCTCCCCTGATACCTAACATCCCCCTGTGGTAAATTCAAATGCGCTTTTTCGCCTACCGTAGCAGTCCAAAGGCCCAGATGCTGCCCAATTATAGTGCCAGGAGTATGTGATTTCTCCAGGTTACCCTCATCTTCCAAATTCCTTGACTTTTTTCTTGTACCCCTCGGTGGGGCTCCAACGGTATCATTCTTCGGCCTGCCTTCCTGACCCTCCAACACCACTCCAACTGGTGTCGGTAACTCCGGGCCAACAACCACTTTCCCTGGGCTTGGCTCAAGAAACTCACTCAGAAATACTCTGAACCCGCTCGCTCCCTGCCCCCCCCCCCTGGTTCCACAAAGCAAAGCCCCATACTCTCGCTCCTTTCCGGCAAACCGGGAGCCCACCCGGGAAGTCCATACTTCCTCGCTAACTCATACACTTGAGGCTTTGACAAGTTATTTGCCGCGAGGGGGAATAACAACTTGTGAAGGCACTCTGGTGCGAGTGTAGATAGGAAATACGTCTGGTCTTTATTTGGGTCGGGGGAGCGGAGGAGATGGGGCTCCACATTTTGTTTGCCAAATGGATAGCCAATTTTCGCATAGTGCCCTGTAGCCAACCACCACCGGCCCTTCTCCACACCTTGGGTTGAACGTGTTTCCATCTCTTTGAGTCTCCGGAGCAGCCCGCCGAATTTCACCAACCTATTACATCCGACATCTGGATTTGGAGTTTCTCCTCGTTCGTAACTAGCTACCATGGGCTCGAAGACTTCCGTCCAGTATTCTTTTTCGAGATTCATGCGTAATGGATCCCTTAATCCTAAGAACGAGCACAACTCTTGTACAAGCCGGAATTCCCGGGTGGTACATTTCTCTTCCTTTCGTGCTCGAGTCTGGGGAGTAAGTTTAGGTTTATCGTGGAGGTGGAATAACGATGGTTTCTCTCTCGGGGGACGTCGGTGGATGAGCAGGTCAGCACGAGTAAGGTTAGACAGGTTCCAGTTCGTCATGTATAAGGGGTAAAGGTTCTCCGGAGGGTGAGTAAGGGAGAGGAGTTTGGCTGTAACTGAGGAATCAATGCCTGAGGACAGGGCAACATAGACTGTTTTATGTGAAGATACGTGAGATTAGGCTAGACGTTAATGTGGGTGCATAATACCTTTGTCGTTAGGAGAGGGTTGAGGAGTCACATATGGGTATCTTGAATGGGAGTGAGAACTGTAAGCTCGATCCTGCTGGAGATGCAAGCACCAAGAGGACTGCCTCCTAGAAATGCTATTGTGGCATCGTGTAGGGAGAAATGGAAGCGGGTATCGTACTTGCGCCATGAAGATTATAGCAATTGAAGAGTATCAAGAAGCTATGCAGAAAAATTTCGAAATCATAACCCCTTCGCACACACTCCATGGACACTCATATATCCTTCTTAATAGTGAGCGTCAGCAGGTTATATCGCACAGATAATAAGGAACGTCAGGATTGAGGGTAATCAAGCGCAAACCAGACTTCGTTGAAAAAATCTGACAAGAGCCACGCCAAGATTGTACTGCAGCTGCAGCTCCTCTGCAGGTAACTCCAAAATTTCGAGAATCGCAAGCTTCCTTCCTTCTGATCCACTGCCCATAACCCTCAATGTCGTTCAAGGAATAAAGTCTACCATAATGCCTTTCTCTCACCCTCTGCTAGTACCAGTCTCTATTCGAACTAAACTTCAATTCCACTTCCTTCCCCAGGCTTTCCGGCGGTCTGTTGCAACTCTTGAAGGCCACCCACACATCGTAAGCTTCCTCTACTCCCTTCCTCCACCCCATACACCTTCATTGGCTGTTTTGCAAACAAATCACTAAACCATGAAACACACCAGTACATCTATCCCCACCCCACCAACCCCTCTTCACACCTCCTCACTCTCCTCCCGACCACCCCACCCACCCCTAGCCTCTCCCTCGGCACCACATACACCCTGCCCCCTTCCCTCTCCACATTCAACCCCAACCCCAAATTCCTCCCTATCCTCCAGCGTACCCTGTCCCAACATGCCCAACATGACCCCTCCGTCCTCTCCTCCGCTGCCGCATTCGCCGCCTCCTCTTTACAATCCCTCTGGTCTCGAGATCGCAGAGCAAAACCTACCGGCGGCTGGGTCCACGTAACAGATGAGCGGAGTCCGCCAGAGTGGGGAAGAATTGGAGATGTAGAAGATATATTTGGAAGTATAGCTGTTGATGAGACGGGGAGGGTGCTGCCCAAGGAGGAAGGGGGCGGATATGAGCCCTGTTTGGGGTATAGAATCTGGACAAGGAATGGGATGTGAGTTGCCCTGCCTGTCCTGTAAGGTGAAGCCCGTTTGCGTTGGCCCCTCCATCCATTCAGGAGTTTTGATCTGTGGAGGGGAAGATGTACGAAAACTGACAGTAGCAATACACACTAACGAAACCTTGGGTACTGATAGAATGCAGCTCCCGCTATATTTGCGGGAAAGGCTTCTGGATGCTCTGAAAGAGGAGGAAAAGAAGATTAAGGCAGGGACTTCAGAGCTCAGATCACAAATATAGCCCACCATTCCACTCCATTTTCGCCTCTTAACTCCACTCATACATCCACAAGCCACAATTAAGTATAACATTGCAGATATCAATAAAAAATGTTAAGAAAATTTCATTAGTATAATCTGGCATGGTTACCTATTCGTGGTGTAGTCTTCTGCCACTAAGGACTACAAAGAAATGGAAATGTAGTTTAGAGGTTGGAGATAAACAAAGTACCGGAGTTCTACAAACAAAATCCCAATAACGCCGTTCCCAATTTTTTGACTGATTCCGCATATCACTTCCTTCCCAAAGACCTCAACCCCATCTCAACCACCTTTCTCCCCCTCTCCCCATCTACCCAATACGCTCCCCCATCTCCACCATGAACCGCTGGCCTCTCACTATCAACCTCCATTTCGTCTCCCATCACTTCCATTTCCTCAGTAACACTAGCTTCATAGACCGCATTCAACCCTGCCTCATCCACGGGCACGTTCCATCTAACCATTGCCCTTACACACTGTGCTAGCCTGGCAATCTCCCTCCTCGTCGCTAGAGAAATATGCTCATTCACACTACTATAAATCCCCTCACTACTTTCCTCCTCCAATCTGGTGATACTAACCCCCACCTTCCCATCCCCTCCGGCCTTCTGACTACCTCCCGCTGGTCCATTCGAGGTCGACTTTGCAATCCATATCCACCCATTCACCCCCGCCACAACATCCACCTCCCCTCCTCCTGCTGCAGTCGTAATCGTCCAAACATGCCTCCGTCCCCTTACCACCCCACCCCCACCAACAACCACCAAAGTCCCATTTCTCAACTTCCCATACCTCAGCGACCTCGTATGCAAACTCGCAACCCCTCCCTCAAGGCCCATCAAACTCTGTACCTCTGCAACCAATAAATCCCCCTCACTAAAGAAACCCCTAATCTGCAACTCATCCGCTGCTGTCCTCCGCCTAAGAATCCCTCCTGGAAGATTGATACTGCTCAACAGTAGTACCGCCAAACTCGTACTCGTAATGTCCACCAGCCACCTCTTCGTCTGCACGCTGTGAATCCTTCCCAGAACCAGGTCCCCAATTTGCGGCGTATACCGCGTAGCCAACGGACTAATACTGAGCAACTTATTCGTCTTGATCAAGGTTCCAGCCAGCGTGCTGATAATTGTTATTGATGTACCCGCCGCGGCGTTTGCAGTAGTAGGAGGGATATAGGTTCCATGTCCCCTCATCCACTGCGGGTCCTGTGTCACAGTTTCCCCAGGTGTCACAATTGACGTAGACAAGGAGTCGTCGTCGAGAATTTCTCGATGCTTTTTTACCCCACCTGGCCCACCGCGGCGACGGGCGTGGGAGATGAGGGTGTCCATGTCCATCCCGTCATCTTCGTCCATGGAGGAGTCCTCGTCTGGGGTGTAGTCTCCATCATTTGTGGCAGTGGTGTAGTATGATGGTGCCGGGGCAGGGGAAAGGATCTGTATCGGCATTTTTTCGGGAATTGTGGAGATGGTAGTGAGAGGAGGGAAGCGCAAATAAAATCTTTGGCCAGCTTTGCAAAGTTGCGGTTATAATATGGGACATAACGCACATATTAAAGCATTATTTGTTAGCCCGGTTGGCTCAGTCGGTAGAGCGTGTGACTCTTAGAATGACCTTGGTCATCTGCGGAATCTCAAGGTCGCGAGTTCGAGCCTCGCATTGGGCTACATTTTTTTGTGCTGATGGCAGACCTAGTAGTCTGATTGGCACTAGTCTGGTTGCACGACCCACCGACACGACCGTGGGGTTGGCACGATGACAATTAATTTCAAATATAGTCTTGTTATCTCAAACCAGACGATGTGCTTTCTGCTTCCTATCAATTATTGGGGTAATCCTAATCTAACGTCCATATCACTAGTACTAATAATCATACATTCCGAACCCCCAACAAGCTCGGATAATTAATATCTAAGCAATGAATTTCATTCACTAGGACAAAGTGGAAACATTACACGGACAGTCCGCAATCCATCATTAACTAAAAGAAGATATATGTACTCCTCTTTCCCCATCAAAAAAAAAAAAAAAGCCCATCGTACGAATTCAATCAATCTATCTTTCTACTTCTTCCACCCTCCAGCCTTTGCCTTGCTTTTCGGTGCAGTTGAGGATGCAGTCGAGACAACACTGGTGGCTCGAGAAGTCGCATTCGAATTGCTCACCTTTGTGGCCACCGCAGAAGACTTTGCGTTCTCGACTTGCTTGTTCTGAACGAAATATTAGTGATCTCAATGATAGCTATTCGCTAGATGAACTCTTACCTTCGGCGGAGGCTTTACTGCACCCTTCCCAGACGGCGTCGTTGTTCCGTTATGCCCGGTCTTTCCCTTCTTGGTCACCGGCGCCTCAACCTCCTCCTCCTCTTCGTCCCTTTCCCTGCCTTTAACACTCTTCTTCTCCGCCCCTTTGCCATTCGTCGCTGGGGCACTCTCCTTATTCTCTTTACCAGTACCATCTTTCTCCTCAAACTCCTTTACAATGGTACTGATCAACGTAGTACACCTCCTGCCAATCTCAATAGGAGTCCTCGACAGAAAAAACCAATCGAACCTAAATAACGGGCTCTCTCTAATCTCATCTCTGATCTTCTCATACAAGTTCTCCGCGTCAAGGCCATGCTTGTCCAACTGGCAGAGCAGGAACCGGTCTTCCTCATCCGTATAGACCTTCTTGTTGGTAGTCGAAACGGTGTAGTTGATCTTAAGCTGAACTAGGGGAACGCGGTACATCTCCATCTTCTTCCTCAGCATCTTCTTCTGCGCATTGACTTTACGAGTCTTCTCCTCTCCCTGCTCAATCTGGTTGATGTATCGCTCGTATTGGAAGAGCTCGGTGTATCTGTCCCAGAAGACCTTCGCGAAGGTGCGGACCTCCTTTTCCGTCTTAGCCTCCATCTCAGATGCAATATTGCCATACGCGTTACGCCCGTACTTTGCAGAGAGCTGGATGAATTGCTGAAATTCACGGCGGGTCCAGTTACTGAACCCTTGCTCAGCCAATTCCGCTTTCTCTTTCTCTTCCTCTTCGGTAAGCGGGAGGGCGTTGTCTATGATTTCCTGCTCCAATGCACGCTCATTTTCGCGCTCTGAGGCTTCATCATCTTCGCCAGCCTCTGGTGCTGGGACCTTGTAACCTTGCTGCTTCCTGAAGTATGCAGTCTCCTTCTCCTGTAGCTCAACCAGCCTAGGCGGGTAGAATTGGAAGTCTGCAACGTTGACTTGCTTGGGTGCCTTTGGTGCCTTTGGTTTTTGTTCCGCTGGTTTTGCACTTATAGGGTTCAACATCCCTCTATAGTACTTATCGATCGAGTAATGAGCCTCCTTCCTCTCACGCTTGGCTGGGTTGATCCATGCCATACCAATGGTGGGCTTCTTGATCTTCGCGAAGTCTTCCCCGTTCCACTCATACGCCGAATCACTGGTAAATTTCTGGAGGTCGTCTATTCCCAGCTTAGAATACCTGTCATTGAGTTCTTTCGTCCTCTCCTCTCCATGCTTGAATATCGCATCGATGTCGTCATCTGTAAGCTCAGGCCCTGTGATGTGCTTGCTCTTCGCCTCGGGGTTAAAAATGTCTGCCGCACCATGCTGAATCATGTTCAATAACTCGTCTTTAGACGCTGCCTGCTTCGCCGCCTGCTGAGCACGGCCTTGTTGAATAACGAGCTGATCAAGGCGCAGTTTCTGCGCTGCCCTTTCAAGAACTTTCTCTTCAATGGCATTCTCTGTGATAAAACGGAAGACATGCACTTGCTTTTTCTGCCCAATTCTGTGCGCACGATCCATGGCCTGTAAATCTGCCTGCGGGTTCCAATCGCTATCGTAAAGAATAACAACGTCCGCAGTGGTTAGGTTGATACCTAAACCACCAGCCCTCGTGGTCAGCAAGAAGACAAACTTCTCGCTATCAGGTTTGTTGTACTCATCGATGGCGGCAATACGGTCTTCGTGTGCTGTACCACCATCAATCCTGCAGTAGGCGTATTCACGGAAAAGACAGTAATCCTCTAGAATATCAAGCATTCTGCTCATTTGCGAGAAAATAAGGACACGGGATCCTTGGGCTTTCATGCGCTTCAGGATCTTGTCGAGCATCACCATCTTTGCAGAATTGAAAACCAAGTGCTCATCTGTAGTGTATGGAGGTCCAGGCTCTGCTCCCTCAAAGAGATATGGGTGGTTACAGCACTTCCGAAGCTGCATGACGATGTTGAGAAGCCTGGTCTTGGATTCTCTCTTTCCAGCAGCACCATTTACAGCGTCGATATCCTTTTCGAGAATCTTCTGATACCATTTGACTTGCATTTCAGACATACCAATATAGAGATTAAGCTCTAGAAGCTTGATTAGCTAGCTGGTTCATTCTCCAACTAAGTGAGCACTTTTACATACCTTTCTTGGGGAGCAAGCTCTTTTCCACGTCGCTCTTGACTCTTCGCAGTAAGAACGGCCGTAGGACTTTGTGAAGCTGTTTGACAACAATGTCCTGGTCACCACCTTGGTTCTCAAACCACTGATCGAACGCGGCCGAATCACCGAAAACATCAGGCAGTAAGAAGTTCAATAAAGCCCAAAGCTCGTGCAAGTTGTTTTGTAGAGGAGTACCAGTGATCAGCAACCTATTCCTAGAATGGAACAGCCTGATGATTTGAGCTAGAGATGACTCCTCGTTCTTGATTCTATGAGCTTCATCAACAATGATATACTCCCAAGCAAACTTCTTTAAATGTGCTTTCTCTCGTAGAACCATCTCATACGAAGTAATCAGCACATCGAAATCAGACGTCAAGACACGGTCGTTTATGAGTTTGGCTCGATCATCTTTGGCTCCTTGTAGCACCAGAACTCTCACTTCAGGTGTCCATTTCTCGAATTCTCGCTTCCAGTTGTCCAAAGTAGACTTGGGAACCATAACGAGATGCGGTCCGTTGATTCCTAGAACATAGCGGAGATAACCAAGGAACTAAAGAGAGTTAGAAGGGCTATCTCAACAAGTCTTCATTCATCGAACTCACAGAAATTGTCTGAAGTGTTTTTCCGAGGCCCATCTCGTCTGCCAAAATACCCGAAATACCATTTTCATGAAGTGATATCAGCCAATTGAGACCAGCAATCTGGTAATCCCGCATCGTTCCACCCTTGATATCTGTAAAGTGATGATGTCAGTATTCCCCATATATACCCCAGGAAGTAAGAATAATCTACATGATGGTGACTCAGTAAATATTGTGCCCCCCTCCTCCCCACCTTCCTTCTCATCCTGTAGCAACTCTTCATCCTCTTCTTGCTCAGTCCTTCTCCGTCTATGGTCACCACCCTTTTTGCCCTTCGACTTTTTCTGGTCTGTCTCCTCGATTACTCTCTTGAACTCCTCGTTCTTGCCGATAAAATGTCGGAAAAGATCTGATCAACCTAAGTCAGGAAATGAAGTCCATTTTGCCCCAAAGATGGTAATACCTGTCAGTCCAAGCAGATATGTGTATCGCTTGGCAGAGTCCGAAGTCTACACACATCATGCTGTCAGTACCCATCCTTGCTTGCGCTATCCAGAGTTCATCATACCTTCGTCCTGTCCAGCTTGGTGTGCTTATTGCCAAACTCTTTCTTCCGTAGATTCGTGACATCCGACCTCCTCCGCCTTCCATCTGCTACTACTTCTTCCGAGCCCGACTCATCGTCGTCTGCCTATTAACAAACTAGTTTAGTGATCTTGATCAAACTGGGTTGATTGTAGGATATGATGGTGGTTTATACATTGTTATCAGCATCCTGTATATGGTATCAAAATTAGCATCGGAATGTTCGGGTACCGCGTACCATCTGTCCTGACTTACCTCCATAGCTACATCCTCATCCACTTCTGCTTCTCGCTCATCTGCTTCATTTTCTGAGCCACCGGAGGCTGGACAGCTCTCATCATGGTTACCAACTGGCGTGTCGACCGATGAGGCCGGCGCGGATGGCTCAGGGTCAACTTCCGTCACAACTTTCTTCGTTCTCGGCATCCCTGCTGCAGGTTTAAATGTATTGCGGATGTGCTAGTGATACTGGCAAGCAGACTCCCTCGAGAAGAAATAATGTGTACAAGTGTGGAGATAAGCTGCAGCGTGGCTGGCGTGACTATGGAATGGAATTGCAAGAATCAACAAGACAGAGAACAATGTTGTGGAGGCGAGATTGAACTTCTACACAATCAAGCTAGCATGCAACGCCCCGTAAGGTTGGAGCCGTTGCAAATTTCTCATCTGTGGCTGGACGCGGTCTAGGACATTTACATCCTGCGCCACCCACCGTGGAGCCTGTTTCTAGAGCTATTATAGCCGTAGTCCCGTGACTGTCGATGCAAGCCCTACGGTATGTGGCATATCTCAGCAAGGATTGTACCTAGTCTGGTTGGCACAACCCCCCCGGAAGATTGTACCTGTAATCAAAAAGCAAAATTAAAATTAAAACTATAATTAAAAAAAAGAAATAAATAAAATAAATAAATAAAAGTAAAATAAATTTGAATTAAAGATTAATATAAAAAAAAATATCCTTCAATAAGTTATATTTCATAAAGTAACTTCTGAAACTATAGTTAAAACTATTATTTTTTTCTAGCTATTTAAAGTATAGTAGCAATCTTATTTTGCTGTATGGCACAGGGAATACAATAGAGAAT